CGGTCTTCCTCACAAATCCCTCCATAAACTCCAACTTCTCCAGAACTCGGCAGCCCGCATCATTTCCAGAACTCCCTCCTTCCACCACATCACCCCTGTTCTTCAGCAGCTCCACTGGCTCCCAGTCACTTCCAGAATCCAATTCAAAATTCTGCTATATACATTCAAAGCCATCCATAACCTAGCTCCACCGTACCTCTCAGACCTCCTTCATCCTTCAACCTCCACCTGTTCCCTCAGGTCCTCCTCCTCCATTCACCTCTCTGTCCCACCTTTCCGTCTGGTCACTACGGGGAGCAGGGCCTTCAGTCGCTCTGCTCCCCAGCTCTGGAACTCACTCCCTCCTGACCTCCGTAACATTGATTCCCTCACTCTCTTTAAAACCAGACTCAAAACCCACCTGTTCCGTCTAGCATTCCAATAGTTACTCTCTTTGCTCCAATCTGTCTGTTTTATGCTGTTCTATCTTTTATTGTTGTGTATTTTATCTCTGTAAAGTGTCCTTGAGTGTTCAGAAAGGCGCTGTTGAAATAAAATGTATTATTATTATTATTATTTGTTCATTTATCGCAAGTAATATAGATTTCGCAATATTAAGCACTGTTATCGAATATCGCAGGTTTTCCTAATATCGTGCTGCCCTACTTCAAATAAAATCAAATCAACTTTATTTATAAAGCGCTTTAACATGCCCAAAACGGACAAACAAAGTGCTGTACACCAATAACAAGCACAACAATAAAACAGACATATAACCATTTAAAATACAATAAGAAATCCCGAGTACAAGTTCGCAATCCATATCAGTCCTGTTTCCAGAATCAGATCCAGACACATTCAAAGTGATGCTGCCCACGCAATCCCAACTTCAATGTCCAAATGCCAACGAGAACAGATGTGTTTTTAGTCGGCTTTTAAAGGTCTCCAGTGATTTGGCCTGCTTTACGTCGGCTGGCAGCTCATTCCAAAGACTTGGTCCGAGCACTGAAAAGGCACGACTCCCACGAGACTTCAAGGTGTACCTGGGCACAGTTAATAGTCTCTGGTCAGATGACCTAAGAGAACGCTCCGGGACATGTCGGTGGATGATGTCAGGAATAGGGCTGCAACAAACGATTATTTGGATAATCGATTAATCGGATGGGGTCTCGACACGATTAATCGATTAATCGGATTACATAGGGACATTTTTAAAAACTGCCAGGGAAACGTTATTTTTCTCCTTCCTTCACTTTATTAAACACAACATTATTAGAAAACAGTTCAATAGCAGAAAAACAACATGCCATCACCTAAATTGTCTTATAAGGCGTATAGACAGAGACCCTAAGCTACATCTATCTGTGACCTAAAATGCTTGGTCCAAGTTAAACAGCTTAAAGAGCAAGTCAACCCCTACCAGAGTCTAACTCCACTCCCGCTTCATGTTTGAAAAATGCAACACATGCTGTTGCCTGGCAGACCGAGAGGGCGGAGCCGCTAACAAATACACACACACTCAGGCTCACGACAGCATTGTGACATCATAATGTACCAGTTTACATCATAGCATACTTCTTAGCCAATAGCGGTGGCAGATTTAAATTAAAATACAGTGCAGAGTTTTTACCTGACAACGGCACAACACTGCCAGTTTTAGGCAGAATATTTAAATTTTAACTAAGATGCACTGAAGTGCCAAATTATTGACGACACGTGTCTGCAGCACGATTAGACACTTGTTTATTTAGTTTATCAGCAAAAAAAAGTTTATTTGGGGGTGACTTGCTCTTTAAGGGCAATTCTCATCTGTTTTGTTTGATCTCATCTGTAGACATTTATTATAATTGGGGATGTCAAACAACTAATTTTTAAATGTAATTAAACATAGGCTGTGAATTAATCAAAATTAATCACTATTTCCAAAAATGACTGAAAAATACCAAATAAAACAAAAGTAAATGAATGCCATCCTCCTTGTGATGATGCCCTGGGCAACTGCCATACAGTCACATCAAGAAATGCTGCTGATCATTCCAATGATCCCAAATAGACTCACATTAGGCCACATGAAAGCAACTGAACCCAAAAATATATTAACCAGTATATAACTGCACTCTCACACAACACGCCTGCAGCAACAGTTAGGACTCCTCCCTCCCTTTTAAAAGCATTTTCGCTTCTGAGGACATTGTGGTTGTAAAACCACATGCTAGTAGTCTGGCCCCGGTGTGATCAACCAGTTTCTGCGGGAATGTGACGGCGGAACCGGTTCGCAGCGGCGCGAGTCCCCCCCCCCCCCCCCCCCCCCCCCGACTATCAAATAGCGTCGCGCTTACAATTTTATAGACTTTTTTTACGAGCTTAGGGCATGTCTAGCCTGTGTAATAATCTGGGGCTTGGGTGAATCACTTTTGAAAAGTTTTTAACTTACCCGGACACAGAGCTCTCTCCTTCCTCGCTGATGATTCTGACATGCTTGCGTTTAAGACGCTGCATCATCTCCGTAGTATCCCCGTGCCATGCTAAGTCTGACCTACAAACGTTGCATGTCTTCGCCTGATTTAACTGAAAATGCTCCCAAACTTTAGAAGTTTTAACTTTTTTGGGGTCTCGCTGCTTCTGCCATGTTCCTCTTACAAACACCTGCCGGCTCTCCACCGGTCTGCGCGCAACGGCGGGCGGGAGGGGAGGGGGCTTTTGGAAGAGTTGCGCAACACAACGAATCGATGACGCAATTCGTTGCCAACGCTTTTAGTAATCGATTTTCATCGAATTCATCGATTCGTTGTTGCAGCCCTAGTCAGGAAGGTATTTAGGTGCCCCTGAGTTTAACGCCTTAAACACAAACAGGATTACCTTAAACCTGATGCGATAGGAGACAGGGAGCCAATGCAAAGCACGTAGGACTGGTGTAGTATGTTCAGACCTCCTGGTAGATGTTAACAACCAAGCAGCCGAGTTCTGAACCGCCTGGAGGCGTGCTATTGGAGCTTGCCTAAACCCCGCATATAGCGAGTTGCAATAATCCAGCCTGCAGGTAACAAAGAAATGGATCACAGTTTCCAAATGACTATGTGACAGAAATGGCTTAATTTTCGCTATACGGCATAGATGAAAGAAGCAAGATCTCATGATTCTGTTCACTTGAGCATCAAATCTGAGCTCTGCGTCCAACTTTACCCCTAGGTTAGTGACCACCGCCTTCTGATGCGGTGCCAGTGTGTAAAAATCAAGCCCTTGGGCACCTCCTACGGACTTTGGTGGAGTAAACAGAATTACTTCAGTCTTGTGTTTGTTGAAACACAAGTAGTTCTGAGCCAACCATAGCTTGATGTCCTCCAGGCAGTCCAACAAAGGTTGAATGGTGCATAAACCACCACACCTAATTGGAAAAATTATGGAATAACACGCCATGTTTGCGGAATAGGTCACCGAGGGGTAGGAGATATGGGGAGAAAAAAGTGGGGCCAAAATCGATCCCTGGGGCACTCCCCAAGGCAGCTCAGCCAGGTCGGAGGAACAGTCCCCCAACCTCACACAAAAACTCTTCCCTGTCAAGTAGGATCTTATCCACTTAAGTGCCTGGCCCATAATGCCCACAGACCACTCCAGCCGGTTTACTTCAAGAGACAACTTCAAGAGACAAGATGATTAGATACTTTGGGTACAACCAAGTGTAGTCTAAAGCCAAATTTCGAGTCTTCTAACGCCTTAAGTTCACCACCTCCTCAGAACTGCCTCTCTGCTACCCACTGTAGTGACATGAACGGCCTCATTTGTGACCCAAAGGTCACACTTCCCCAGCTAGGTCGAGCTGGGTCAAGCTGTACTTCTGTCCACAGATTATACATCACAGGATGTTTAAAAAAAAACAGGAATGTGACTCATAAATACACAATTTTTAAAGATGTATTTTTAAATAAACTGTCATTTTTTTATTTATCTGCCCATAAACCATCATTGTGTAAGGAAGCAAACGGGTAAGAAACATGCAAATGCATTTAAAAAACTCGTTCTTTGTATGCACCTTCTCATAACAGGTCATGTAAATCTCGGCTGGCATCTTTTGGGAACTACACCTGTTAAAATGCGCCCACCTAATTAAATTCTATTATATTAACACAAACAATGAACGTTACCGTGTTTAGTTTGACAGCATCAACACTGTAATCGTTTTTACAATAAGTTACTCGTCAAAGCGGTTAATTTCACAGTGTATGTTGCACACACAGTCTCCAATCAACCCAACATGCACGTTTTGGTCTACATGAGGAGATCTCTATGCAGAACAAATGCAGTCTGCGAGGCAACAGAGCTGCTAACTTTGCTGCCCACAAAGTTTTATATTGAAAAAGGTAATGCAAACAATAAAAATATTTTACCTGTTTAACAATGAAAAAACACATTTCCTATTTAAGAAGTGTGTGTCTTTGAACCCACTCATACCGCCTGCAGAAGTCTGCTTCTGCGCAGCGGTCAGATCTCATTCAAGCTGAGGTGCCAAACGCAGTTGAAGACCGTTTTAAACAGTTTTGTAGTAACAACTGTGGGGCTGAGCAAACTGCCACGCATGGACGTAATTTTCACTTTAGAAGTGGGGGGGACACGGGGGGGTGGGAGTGGGGGGGGGTCTTTACAGTATGTTCTAATGGGAAACAGGCTTCAACACAAACTGTTGTTTTCTGCTTGGTCCTAGAGCTCAACCAGTGTCAATTAATATAGCGTAATATTGTTTTTGGATGGTAAAAAGTGCAGGGGTCAAACCTTGACTTTGGAAAAAGTGGGGGGGACATGTCCCCCCTGTCCCCCCCCCCCCCCCCCCCCCCAAAATTACGTCCATGCTGCCACGTGTTCAGGACAAAACAAATGTTTCGTTTTTAATATCATTTCCTGCTTCCTCTACCAAACCCGTTACTAAATGTGAGTATCGTTGCGTAAACGTGACGAAACCCAGCAGCAGAAACACCTCCCACCTGTTCTTGGCTGCTGCTGCTGATAACAGACAGAAGGTTCCTCACCGTTCGGCTGGCCGTGGCGGGAAGCTGCAGGTCCAGGAGCCGGTGCGTATTCACGGCCTGAGCGCTGTCGCTCAACGCGGAGGCTGTGGACAGCGTGTCCGTGGCGCGCGCCGCGGAGCAGATCACCTCGCGCTCTCCGCAGGAGGTGTTGCTGCTCCTCTCGCCGTCCATCGCTCCCTCCGTTCTCCTCACGCGCTGTGTCTGCAGGAGGCGGGAGGAAGATGGTTTGAGCAGGTGAATCTAAACCGGCTGTTCCATAAAAGTAAAAACAGGTGTTTTTGTTTTATATGAAATTTATTTGCATATAGTTTAAATAAGCTATAAATTTTAGATGATTTCTAACTAAAAGCATCTGAAACGCCAAATAACTCTCGGACCTAAAATTTGCCCACGTCACATCTGAGCCTCAGAGGTCTTAAATCCCGATATTTGGATATCTCTCCTCTGATTGGCTAACATCAATATACCACTGACTCTGCTCTGCAAGTAGATGTTCTATCTCCACAAATCTTCAGGTCCGGATCAATGGAACCAGCTGTAGAACTCCCAGTCATGAACGTCTCCAGGTGGATCCACGTGCCGCTCTGCAGGTGAAGAGCAAGATCACCGTGGTGCTGGGGTTCATAAGAGAACACAGGAGATTTGGCTCTTTAGGTCAGTTCTCTGCTAAAACTCATTATAGTGATTATAAAATCACTTGATGGGGTTTAAACCCACCAGAAACAAATTACATAATGAGGACAAAGTGCCTGACTGAGGATGAAGCAGCAGTCAGATCCAGAGCCTAAAGTTTAAATCCTCTGAAAGCGTTCGTTTACTCTCAGCAGGAAAAGAAAACATTAAATAAAAACGGTTAAATGCATGTGTCCCCTCAGAGTCAAAAACAAAACGCTCTGTCAAACGCGTGATGTTTTCAGGCCTGAACCAGTGATGTGAGGATGTCTGGTGTCTGAATCACATGAAAAAGATCTCGTCTAAACAAGCTTCAAACATGAAAACACAGTCTGTGGTTTGTTTCAGGTTAGTGTTGATCTTTATTTACTCCAAACATAAAAACACATTTTCTCTCTCAGCTCCACGAACTCATCTTGTAGAAAATATCTGGATTAAGGATTTCTGCTTGCAGCTGCAGGACTGATGTTCTGGGTCAACCTGACTTCCTGTTTGAGAAACAAAAGGTTTAAAATGAAATGCATTTGGGATGTTTGAGGGTTATTTATTTTCCAAAGCCAAAAATCACCAGATTTACATGAGGAGAGATGTGTAAAAAAGCTTTGATCTTTCCTTCCTCCACTTTAAATTCCCTGACAGGAGCCTCAATCACTTCAGTTCTGACCCAAATCTGTGCCGTTTGGTAACGCTCGCTTAGCAAAAGAGGTACGTATTCAGGTGTTAAACTGGATCAGAGAGGTGAGTTTCATAATAAATGTCAGTCAGGTGGAAGTGGCATGCCGATGCCCTCTAGGCGCCCCTTTGACGCCTGTGCTCGGCAGCCTCGCCTCTGTCAGTATTCCCCAGGGCAGCTGTGGCTACATCGTAGCTCATCCCCACCAGTGTGTGAATGTGTGTGTGAATGGATGAATGATACACTGTAGTGTAAAGCGCTTTGGAGTCCTGACTCTGAGAGGCGCTATACAAGTGCGGGTCATTTATCATTTAGGCAGGTGTCTTAACTCCTCACAACATGGTTGGAACTGTTAAACAGAAGACATGATCACTGGAATTTAGCTTGTGTGAAGCAGTGGGAACCATCATGCAGACACACTGTGGCACCGGGGCAATAAAAGGAAAGGACACAACTGTGTCAGCAGCCCAAAGGAAGGAACTTTGTTTGTGAAAATAAAATCCCAGAGAGGGAGCTGGTTTAGATAAACTCTTACAATAATAAGTTGATGTGTGATGTCACTGAGCTGACTAGGGGGAGGGGTGTGGCCCCAAAAATTTTGTTTCTAAAATTCAGATTTATGGAAAAGCTAGCTGTTTTTCAGTGACTTGCTGTTAAAAAGGTGGTTTCCTGTGCTAGGTTATTTAGGTTGTTTTTGTTCCTGTGTTGATTGATGAGTTTTGATGTTTTTGCATTAGATCATCTTAAATAATTGAGAGATGAACACTTGGCTTGTATCTTATTAATTTATGGTACATTATGGTTTATTTCATGGGTGAGCTGATTAACACAGAAAGTAAACATATGATTAAATGTACCTGTGCTGTTTTAGTATATGAACATGTTTAATCAGTAGGGGGAACGTAGCTCCATCAAAACCTGATAGTTATCTAGAATAATGTTTCACCGACCAGCTTTCAGCTGTTTACTACCATCTATCAGCTCTGGGAGAAGTGGGAATTCACCTCTGATCCACAAGGGGGCGATGTTTCTACTTGTTACAATTTATTCTACTTAGACACCTCAAAGAAGAGGAAGTACAGCAGCTGTTTGTCCCTTCTCGTTGAGTCCGCGGCTCTTTCCTGTCCCGTTTGGTCTTTTTAAATCTTTATTAACGGGAACAATCATCGTTCGTCATGTCGGAGGATCTGCGCGCTGACCTGGAGAAATACCTGCAGAGTCTAAACATCCGGACGAGCTGCGTGGATCATCCTCCGGTAAAACCGAAACCAGCAAAGAAGTGTTCCGGGAAATGAGAATGATTTAAACTACTAAACTAGAAATGAGTCTGGATATCAGAGAGAAACTGCGGCAGGAGGAAGCACCGAACGCCATTATTGCGTGAAACACAACTGAACCCTACCACAGTACCTGAAATACCTAAAATACATCTGCCTTTTATAAAACTTTAAACTTGTAAAACATTTTCATCTAAACCGGGCCCAAACCTTCAGCTGCGGGATAGTTGTTCAACATTTTGATTCAGAAAACTTGCAGAAATATAATTCTTTATCTATCTATCTATCTATCTATCTATCTATCTATCTGTCTGTCTGTCTGTCTGTCTGTCCTTATGCAGTTATGTGTGTAGGGAAGCAAATGGGTAACACAATCCTAATAATTAAGCTTTAGCAGAAATGCTTTTTGTTTTACAACAAAACTGCCAGTTATGAGTCACAAAATGATATGAATAAGTCCTGCAAACTGCTTTTTCATTTTCTTCTTTATCATTGCTCATTATGTGACTTAATGGGAAAGATAAAGAAAAGGACATTTAAGATTAAATTTTCCAACAACACTGGCAAATTGTAATACAATTTAAAGTGACTGTGTGTATTTTCCCTGTCAATAGGGGGCAGTACATACCTAAATCACTGCAAGCAAGAGGTATTTCTGTGTTTGATTAAGACCTTACCAATAGAGGGCCATAGGAAGCCTAAGTCATGTCCATCTACTTCCGGACCATGGGTCCCTGGAAGAATAAAAAATGAATGTAAGTCAATGGGGCTAAAAACAAACAAACAAAGCAGTTCATGTCTTTCTGCTGTGCATGAGTGCATCGTTATCAAAGTATGTTTACTCAAAAACCACAGAAGAAGAGGTGAGCTTGTCACGTGACATAATCAAATAAATTGACTTGCGTTGGAAGCGGTTAACAAAGAGCACAGTGTGGGAGCACTTTATTCTTGGTAAAGTGAATACAGTGAGCCCCACATTGAAGCACTGAGCCTGGCAAAATGTTGAAATGAACCGAGACCAGCAACAGGTCAGTCTCTGCCATGATGCTCCTAATTGTAGGGTGGCCATACGTCCTCTTTTCCCCGGACATGTCCACTTTTCACTCTGTCCGGGGTATCGGGGGGGGTTTCCTACATTGATCAAAATGTCCGGTTTTTCATCCAGAAGCAGGGATATAGTTATGGGGGGCTAGATATCTTTCAGGGAAAGATCCAGTTTCTGCCTGAATTAAAATATTTATGGACTCTCAGCGTAGCGGGATGCTGTTGAGCGGAGAGGACGCAGAGCGCTGATCGTTGGTGCGCCCGCTGTGTCCGGCGCACGATACATTCTCAAGGTGGCGCAACAAAACTATTATTAACACATGATCGTTCAGATCTGTTTATATCCTCTGTCTTTTAATCGTTCCTGACGCGCTTCGCTCATCGTGTGCTGCGGTGATTTCACCTCACTGACGAAGCATCGAAACGCGTACCGCGCTTTGCGGTCAGGAGATCCCTTTGATCTGCGTAGTTCAAAAGTAAGTGATGAGGTGAAAAAGTAAGAATCCAGGCAGCAGTTTTTCTGGAGAGTTTAGAGGAGATGCAGGAAGATGAGAGACAGACAGGACAGGAAATAGTTAAATAAAAACAAGAAAACGAAGCTTGAAAGTAAAATGTAGGTAGATTTATCTCCACTACACGATTTCTAAAACAGTAAGTTATACACATGTAATATTTATACATCTGATACAATTCAGATCACCTTCAAAACTCAGTCACACACCCGGGGCCGTTTCAAGACATTTTGGGGGCCAAGGCAAAACGGACCCCCCCCCCCCCCCCCCCCCCCCCATCACTGGGTTCCCCCAGAAGCCTCTGTGTAATTCATACCCTGTCCAGGAGAATTAATGATACAGCGTTTGTAAAAACACCTCAGACATTATTGTCATGTTCTAATATTGTCCGACGATAAATTTTTGGACACGCTGTCATCTGTTTCTTTTCTAAACTCACAAAAATCTGTCAGTAACAAAACCATTTGAAAGCCTCTATTTGTGGATTCTCTCAAAGTTTCCATGGAGTCCATGACAGAAATGTTTTTATCATTGATCCCATCATCTAATGTCACAGCTGAAACAAGAATTCTTAATAATCTGTGCACAGGAAGCGTACCGATGCTGTTGTAAAACAAAAGAGCAGCAGAACACAAATATTTATATTTTAGAGGAAAGAATCAGGGCACGTGTGAAGTTTTAGTTGTTTTACACTTTTACATCAGTAGGCGCCCAAGTTGACTCACTTCTAGTGTTTAGCGTGAATTGGGCAGCGGCCTGGGATGGTTTCAAAATTCCCGGCCTGAATTGATGTCCCCGTCCGCCCCTGCCAGGGAAAGAAGCAATAATCGTTTAAATTACAAAATCTCCTCCTCTCTTCTATGAGGTAAAGTTACAGACTCCAGCTTTAAGTCATAGTGAGCAATGATAAAGGAGAAAATTAAAAAGCAGCTTGGAGAATAACTTTTTCATTTTATTTATGAGTCAAAATGAGCAATTGTATTGAGAAAATGAAAGACCATTCCTGCTAATGCTTAATACTTTGGATTGATGTACATAATTGCTTCCATACATGGGTACTTTCAGAAAATGTAATTATTCTAAGTTTACTATCCAAATTTATTTAAACCCTAAATAATCTCACTGTGTGTCTATACTGTCATTTAAATAAGCTCAGAAATAGTTTTAATATAAAGATGTTTTTTGCATCTAATCTGGCAGAACAAGTTTAAGAAATGTGTATAATTAGACACACAGAGCACTTAGATTTATGTGTGATAATTATTTGTTTATATACAAAAGTGTTTTTCTGGATTTAGTTTTTCTCAGTTGCTAAAGCACAATTCCTGAAACCTTGTTCCCTTTTCTCAAAACATGCAACACAAAACCTCAGCTTCAAGCACGATTTACAAAACCTCTCATTCCTCTTGCATTATCAAACTCTCGCTTCTAAACAGTTTTACCTGTGCTCAAAATCAAACACTACTCTCAAATCATGAACAAATTGCTCACAATTACACTATCAAGCAGTCGGTAAACAATACACTAATAAATAGAAAGCACAAAGTTCAGGGCCATACAATTTGTTTATTGAACCATATGCAGCCTGCAATCCATTGTGCTACAGTGTTCAATGACAATGGAATAAAAACATACAATGAAAAACAAAGGACTAAATATGTCATCAATGGGCCTCGTCTTGTCTTTGGGCAGGGTCAGGCCACAGTACTTCATCGATGTCACATACAACATTTTCCCTCCTGAGGCAACGGGGGGAAGCCTCTGTTGTGCCGTATCCGGCCTCGACATGATTCCTCACCTATATCGCCACAGGCTAAATCCATGGCTTGCAGCAGATTTACTCTGATGTAGGGCTGTCTATCATACACTTTCCATCTCCAAGAGGGAAAAAACTCCTCATTCGGATTCAGGAAAGGCGAGTATGGAGGGAGGTACAGGTTCATAAACTGCCCATTGATGATGAACCATTCCCTCACCTGAGCAGCTCGGTGGGAACTGACATTGCCCCACACTGTTACGTAGGTTGGGATGGGACCCAGCTCTTCACCCTGCTGCTCAGATAATGCATCTCTTAGACTGACAAGAAATCTGAGGAGATGCTGGGTGTTATAAGGCCCCGATGTAACATAATGATGTATGACACCATGGTTGCTGATAGCACAGATGGTGACATTGCCACCTCGTTGACCAGGGACTTCAACAATGGCCCGCAGTCCTATAATGTTTCTGCCTCTCCTTCTCCTCTTCTGAAGATTGAAGCCTGCTTCATCAACAAAGATGAACTCATGGGGTCTGTCCAAGGATTCCAAGTCAAATATTGTCTGTGTAGAAATACAATATAGAATTGTGTACGTTGTACAAAGTCAGCGCTATGCTGTAGAGTACAATTAGGAATAGTGTAAACACTTCCGATTTATTCAATTCAATTGAAGTTTATTTATATAGCGCCAAATCACGACAAGAGTCGTCTCAAGGCACTTCACATAATAAAAATTCCAATTCACAGTTCATTAAGCCAATCAGAAATAATGTCCTATATAAGGAACCCAGCAAATTGCATCACTGACGAGTGTCAGTGACTATACAGCAATCATCATACTAAGCAAGCATGCAGCGACAGTGGAGAGGAAAACTCCCTTTTAACAGGAAGAAACCTCCAGAGAATCCTGGCTCAGTATAAGCAGCCATCCTCCACGACTCACTGGGGATCGAGAAGACAGAGCACACACACACACACACACACACACACACACACACACACACACACACACACACACACACACACACACACACACACACACACACACACACACACACACACACACACACACACACACACACACACACACACAATAATGTGTCTACAGTTCTATTGTGATGTCTTAGTAAATATTCTATTTGGTGAGAAACTTTATTGTATTTATCCTAGTGGATCTCTAATTAAACGGGTAAACTAGTAGTAGCACATCCAACGTCAAGGAAAGCAAAAAGCTATTATCAGGAGAGGGAGAATGTTTAAGTAGTTAGCAGCAGTGTGCTTGTCGATGGATTGCACTCGAGTAATGTCTTTCATATAGTATGCGTTGACAATCTGGATTACTGTAAACGTGTCTGGATGTACACTTACTTGCACATACTGAGCTCGCTGTTCTTTCACCCTTGGCAAGTTGCACTCAAAAGGTACTCTGTAAACTTGTTTCATTCGCAGCCTGTCACGACTGAGGACACGGTTAATTGTGGAAATGCTCACACTGTCGATTCCCTGGAACTGTGTGTTGTCTTGTATCACTCACTCCTGGATTTCTCTGAGTCGTATTGTGTTATTTTGAAGGACCGTGTCCACTATATTGGTCTCCTGCTCCTGCGTGAATATAGCAGTCCTTCCACCCGCACGAGGCATCCTTGCAATTCTATAAATAGTAGATATGCAGTTACAAATACATTTACGCAGTGCAATACAGGGATGAGTCTAGCAAATGGCTATTGGAACAGCTGCATATACAATGTAGTAGAATAAACTATACCTGTTCTCTTCTCTGAATGTCCTTACTATGTAGGACACAGAAAATCGGCTCAAATTGGGTTGCACTTTAAGTTCTGCTTCCCTCATTGTCAGCCCATGGACAACAACACGGTCTATGGTTGTTGCTCGGATTTCATTTGATATTTCCACTCTTTGTCTTGCTCTTCCTCTTCATCCTCCTCTTTCTTGCCCTCCTCCTCATCCCCCACCTCGCATACGCACCCGTCCTCGTCCTCTCACATGAATTCTTCTATCCATTGTCACACTTTCTCATTCCCACCCTCACCAACCTGCTTGCTCTCTGAACTTGCTTGTAATGGTTGTCACATCATTTGAAACAAGTGAAATCTATTTGACTGATTGTGTTCAATCAATGACATTTGTGCTCTTGTTATGGGTAAATGTGTGCCACTTGTGTTTACCAGTATGGACGACATGCACATTAGAGTGGAGAATGTTTTAAGAATGAGAATGCGTTGAGAGTTTTGCTAAACCGTGTGAGATTGTTTAAGGTTTTGACAACAGGCTCAACAGTTAGCTTAATGAGTTCAAGCAACTGAGAACTTTCTTCAGTCAATGGATTTTAGTGTTTTTGCAACTGAGAAAAACTGTAATAAACTGTGTGCTGCCCCTCCTGAACCACTAGAGAGCGCCAGACATCAATGCAGCAGTCAGCTGAAGGTTGAACATGAATTCAAATAGAGTCACAGGCAGAAGTAACATCAGGTTTGGTTTTGTGGGTCATAACTTTTCACTTACGAGACAATGACCACTCTTTCTCCTCCCCCCTGCAGGTGTTCACAGTGGAGGAGATGATGCCGCACCTGCAGGATGTGAGTGGCGCCGTCACTAAGAACCTCTTTCTGAAGGACAAGAAGAAGAAAGGTCTGTGGCTGGTGTCAGCTCGCCACGACCGCCAGGTCAGCGCATGCTTCCTTCTCTTGGCCTCTCCTCTTAAAGATGAAACACACCTGTACACCTGAAATAAGCTTGTATGCACGTCTGCAGGTGAACCTGAACGACCTTGCCAAAAAGCTTGGGGTTGGGAGTGGAAACCTGCGGTTTGCTGATGAGGCGATAATGCTGGACAAGCTGAAGGTACGTAAATACATTTTATTTATAAAGCACTTATCACAGAACAGAAAATCACAAAGGGCTTCAGAAAGATCAACGAAACAAACCGTTAAGTCATCAAATCAAAGCAACTAAATATCATCATGCTAATAAGAAATGACCCGCTTTTGTGTAGCATCTTTCAGAGCCATAAGACTCTTTACAGTACAGTGAATCATTCAGGATAATTAAAATCAGAAAACACAAAAGATTTAGAAATTTTAAACAAAAGAGTAAAGTCATAAAATTATAAAATGATCATAAAAATCTAACTACAAAAATATCATAAAACAACCGAAAGATAAATAGTCAATTGAAATAAAAAAACACAAAAGATTAAAGTAAAAGCAGCTTTAAATAAAAGGATCTTCTGTTGTTTTTGTGTCCAGACTGTCAATATTACATAAGGATAAAGGAAGATTATTCCAGAGTCAGTGCTCTTCTGTTTGCTCCAGTCAGGAGCCTCGCTGCAGAGTTCTGGACCAACTGAAGGCGGTCAAGGGCTTTTTGTTAAACCGTGAGAAGTGTGTTACAGTAATCTAGAGGGGAGGAGAACCATTTCTAGAACCATTTAACTAATTGGCATAATGACCTGAACTCACTGCACAGATGAGTAGGGTCAGTTGGAATGTTAACTTTGTGATGTCTTGAGACGACTGGTTGTTATTTTTCACTTTACAGTAGATGAAAAATAAATACTTGTAGATCATCTTTACAAATGCATTTTAGGTATGCGATTTTAGTTTTAGATCAGAATCAGCTCCTTTAAAAATCCAAGACCATGGTCTTGAGTCGGAAAAGGGAAAAATGCCTTCTCCAGGTCAGGGATGAGGTCCTGCCCCAAGTGGAGAGTTTAAGTATCTCGGGGTCTTGTTCACGAGTGAGGGAATGATGGATTGGGAGATCGATAGGTAGATTGGTAATGCAGGCATTGTCCGTCGTGGTGAAGAGAGAGCTGAGCTGGAAGGTGACACTCTCAGTTTACCGGTGGATCTACATTCCTACTCTCACCTATGGTCACAAGCTTTGGGTAGTGGCCAAAATGAGTTTTCTCCGCAGGGTGTCTGGGCTCTCCCTTAGAGATAGGGTGAGAAGTTCGGTCATCTGGGAGGGGCTCAGAGTAAATCTGCTGCTCCTCCACATCCGGAGGAGCCAGCTGAGGTGGCTCCGGCATCTGGTTAGGATGCCTCCTGGACGCCTCCCTGGTGAGGTTTTCCAGGCACGTCCAACCACAGGAACACCTAAAGGAGGACCTAGGACATGTTGGAGGGACTATGTCTCTCGGCTGGCCTTGGGATTCCCCTGGAGGAGCTGGCCCCAAGTGACTAGCGAGAGGAAATCTGGGCCTCTCTGCTAAGGCTGCTGCCCCTTCGGATCAACCTCACATAAGCAGTGGAAAAATGGATGGATCTTAATTTTTATTCTGTGTCCCGATTCTCTTCTCAGGTGGGTCAGGGATGTGCGACGGCTCTCGCTCTGCTCTTTGATAAGGACCACAGTGTGAAGTTTGTCCTGGATCGGGACCTGGTAGAAGGAGGTCACCAGATGGTCTACTTCCACCCAATGACCAACGCTGCCACCATGGGGCTTCGACCAGATGACCTGCTACACTTCCTCAAAGAGACGGGACATGAACCGGTCCTGGAGAGCTTTGAGTGAGACGGACTTGGGTCTAATCTGGAAATAAGTGTCCTTCAGGTTCTTCTCTGAGCATGACTTGAGATACAGCTTTGAACTACAGTGGGGCAAAAAAGTATTTAGTCACCCACCGATTGTGCAAGTTCTCCCACTTAAAATGATGACAGAGGTCAGTAATTTTCATCATAGGTACACTTCAACTGTGAGAGACAGAATGTGAAAAAAAATCCATGAATTCACATGGCAGGATTTTTAAAGAATTTATTTGTAAATCAGGGTGGAAAATAAGTATTTGGTTAATAACAAAAATTCAATTCAATACTTTGTAACATAAGCTTTGTTGGCAATAACAGAGGTCAAACGATTACTATAGGTCTTTACCAGGTTTGCACACACAGTAGCTGGTATTTTGGCCCATTCCTCCATGCAGATCTTCTCGAGAGCAGTGATGTTTTGGGGCTGTCGCCGAGCAACACGGACTCTCAACTCCCTCCACAGATTTTCTATTAGGTTGAGGTCTGGAGACTGGCTAGGCCACTCCAGGACTTTCAAATGCTTCTTACGGAGCCACTCCTTTGTTGTCCGGGCGGTGTGTTTGGGATCATTGTCGTCTTGGAAGACCCAGCCACGTTTCATCTTCAAAGCTCTCACTGATGGAAGGAGGTTTTGGCTCAGAATCTCACGATACATGGCCCCATTCATTCTGTCCTTAACACGGATCAGTCGTCCTGTCCCCTTAGCAGAAAAACAGCCCCAAAGCATGATGTTCCCACCCCCATGCTTCACAGTAGGTATGGTGTTCTTGGGATGCAACTCAGTATTCTTCTTCCTCCAAACACGACGAGTTGAGTTTATACCAAAAAGTTCTACTTTGGTTTCATCTGACCACATGACATTCTCCCAGTCCTCTGCTGTATCATCCATGTGCTCTCTGGCAAACTTCAGACGGGCCTGGACATGCACTGGCTTCAGCAGCGGAACACGTCTGGCACTGCAGGATTTGATTCCCTGCCGTTGTAGTGTGTTACTGATGGTGACCTTTGTTACTGTGGTCCCAGCTCTCTGCAGGTCATTCACCAGGTCCCCCCATGTGGTTCTGGGATTCTTGCTCACCGTTCTCATGATCATTTTGACCCCACGGGATGAGATCTTGCGTGGAGTCCCAGATCGAGGGAGATTATCAGTGGTCTTGTATGTCTTCCATTTTCTGATAATTGCTCCCATAGTTGATTTTTTCACAAAAAGCTGCTTGCCTATTGTAGATTCACTCTTCCCAGTCTGGTGCAGGTCTACAATTCTTTTCCTGGTGTCCTTCGAAAGCTCTTTGGTCTTGGCCATAGTGGAGTTTGGAGTCTGACTGTTTGAGGCTGTGGACAGGTGTCTTTTATACAGATAATGAGTTCAAACAGGTGCCATTAATACAGCTAAAGAGTGGAGGACAGAAAAGCTTCTTAAAGAAGATGTTAGAGGTCTGTGAGAGCCAGAGATTTTCCTTATTTGAAGTGACCAAATACTTATTTTCCTCCCTGATTTACAAATAAATTCTTTAAAAATCCTGCCATGTGAATTCATGGATTTTTTTTTTCAAATTCTGTCTCTCACAGTTGAAGTGTACCTATGATGTAAATTACTGACCTCTGTCATCATTTTAAGTGGGAGAACTTGCACAATCGGTGGCTGACTAAATACTTTTTTGCCCCACTGTAAGTAAAATAAACTTTTCTCACATGGCATAAAGATCCCTGAAATCACTTCATAGATGTTCCAAAACCACCAAGATGTTGGAGGAACTTTGTGGAGGCTGCTGAAGTGACTGGGTTTTCTAATTTTTTACAAAAGTAAGCCACACAGCCTCAATTTTTCTGAGGAACTAATCAAATGACAATTAGATACAAACATTGATGTAAAATCAGTGGGTCAGAAATGGTCAGATATGTTTTAACTTTGTTTACAAACAGTAGTGACAATAAAAAGCTGCACATGAAGGTTCCCTCCATTGTGTTTGATTCTTTCCTGTGTTTGTCCAGTAAAACGTAAAACTCAGCCTTGTTCAGGGAAGCAAAGGCAGGGTAATTAACACCTATAATGACAGCTATGATGGAATGATGAGATGTATAGATGTAAGTACCATGAAGCCACACTGCTGAACCTGGTCTCAGAAGAACAATGTCTCACACGTTTCAGGTTTTAATTCACTTGTCAATGCTTCATTAAGAGGTGAATCGGTTTAGATCAAGTCTAAACCCAGAGAGGATTTTTACTGCGCTGTATTCAGCATCCCTCTGCACACCTGGGGAGCTAGGGTTGAGGCAAGCACTTAACTCAACAGACTCGGTTTGGTTTTGCTATCAATAGCAAGGCATTTACAGGTGCTTCAGTACGTTGGTCTTGTTTCCTCAGCGCGTGCCATCAGTAGCGGATGATTTCATTTTTCATTTCATTCAATTTATTTATAAAGCCCCTTCTGCGACCAATGCAGATGCCCAAGGTGCTGAGCACAGCACAATAAAAACATAAAACCATCATAATAAAATATAACAATCATAAAACCAACATAATTAAAAGAGGAGAGTAAAAGCAAAAAATAAAATCCTGAAAAAGATTGAGGCCGGGGCATCGAAATCGGGTAAAATTTGCTAATCCTGAAAAGCCTTGACAAAAAATGGGTCTTAAGGCGAGTCTTAAAAAAACCCCAATGAGGGTGACTGATGCACCACCAAAGGCAACTGGTTCCAAAGTGCAGGTGCCAACACAGAGAATGCACGGTCCCCCCGTGACCTGCACTTAGTGCGTGGAACGATCAACAGCTCCCTGCCGGCTGAGCGAAGGGCCTGCGAGGGGGCATGCCTATGCAAAAGGTTGCCAAGGTATGCTGGAGCTGTTCCGTGTAAGGCCCTGTATGCCAGCACCAAGACCTTGAATTTAGCCCTGTATTGTACAGGCAGCCAATGAAGGGATGCCAACACAGGGGTGATATGCTCCCTGCGCCTAGTGCCTGTCACGAACCTAGCGACTGAGTTTTGTACTAACTGCAAGCGTGCTACCGCACCCTGACTAAGGCCAGCGTACAGTGCATTGCAGCAGTGATAAGTCATAATCTGCAACGTTATTTTTGTTTCTATTTTTGGCAGAAAGTCTTCTTCCACTTGTAAGTAGCGATCACGCCTTGTTTGTGCTCTGTTCTTTTGCAGTCAGACTTGTTCCATTCCAGTGTATCTTCTGACAGCTATCTGCTGCTTTACCCTTACTGGGCTCACTCCTGATTGGTGTGCCAGCAGAATAGTGAAGGCATCATTTTGATCTGGATATTTTTATTAGGAATGGACAATATATCGGCATGTTGGCCAATGTTAGTCATTTTTCAACATATCGGTATCAGTCCGATAAATAAAACCGGGCCGATATTAACAACTGATTTTTTTTCCATCTTGTCTCCATTTGTTTGCCTGCTTCAGAGGGAGAGGGGGGTGGTGTGTATTTGTTTAGTCATGTGAACGATGAACCTAATCATCTCAGAAGTGTAAATGTGTGTGGTGTGTGTACATCATAATGTAAATTCAGCTTTAATAATTTTCATTTAGCTGATTTTAAAAGCATTAATGTCAGCATATCGATATCTGTTATCGGCCATAACAGTGATATTAATATCTGTATCGGCCCAAAATGTGCATACCGGTTCATCCCTAGTTTTTATTTCAGCTGAATGTTCAAGTTGAATCAAAGGGCTACTAACATAAATGTGTGATCATGTCTTTTATGACACTTTTTAAAATCACAGTCGTTTTCACTGGTGCACTGGTGGCGGATATGATACGGAACAGCCCTAGCTTCAGACTTTAAAGCACTGGAAGAGGAACACCTTTACAAAGGAAAACGTGGAAGAATAAAATTTACAAACGCATCCGAAATTGTTTCTGAGTTCAAGAGATGGATGTTCAGACTTCTCTGGCAGGAGACTTCAAAATCAAACTCAGCACAGAAACACTGAAGAACCCGGAGAGTCGAACCCAAAACCAAACCCAGGGTAAAAAGATTCTGTGAATGTGGTGTTGACTGTGTGGAGGTGGATCCGTGTGTCAGAGGTGACTCTGTAGAAGGCCAGCAAGACAGTCCACTTATGGGCCATTCCCATCTGTACCGGGTCGGCCCGGGCCGGCTAGCCCCAGTCGGCCCCAGCCTGGCCCGGTTGATTCCACACATCCTTGTCTTAAGCCCATGTGGGCTGATTCTACCCACCAATCAGAGGCTTGCTCTGATGGAAGGTGTGAATTTGCTGTCAGCAGTGGGTGTGTTGGCCCTGGTCGGCCTGAAGCAGACCCCCTCGAGAAGAGGGCTGAGAATGAGCCTTGGTTGGCCCGGGAAAATACCAGGCCACCCAGATATGTAAACAGCCTACGCTACCCGGCCCGGGTCAGTGAAACATCTTAGTCACCAGTTTCAAGATGAGAATCTTTACATTCTGTCTCAATGTGTGAAAGTTGACATCATTCACACCTGCCACTGCTAAAATCATGCACACTGTGCACTTTTTGACTTATTTTCAGCCAATTTTTTTTCTCGTGTGAGAATTTTTGAGATTGGCCGAGTTTTGCATCATTTAGTAGAAACGGTGTAAAGAGAAGTGATTAACACCTCACAGTAAGCTGCTGATCAGCAATCGTGTGGTTGCACAAAAATTAATTTTTTACAAATTCTGGTCATTTGGCTCATTTGCTTTATAATTTCTTCTAGACATTTAGATTTATCATAAAAGGTTAAACATCATTGGTTCTGTTTGGTTCGAGCAAATTTCCCCACTGAGGGATTAATAAAGTTTATTTTCAATTTTGTTCACATCAGCCATAAACAACTCCATTGTTTCAGAATGAATTTAATTATTTGATTTATATTTATTTTTAATTAGCTAAACACATCAGTTTCAAACTTTAAACCAAAAGCTGTTCTGCAGAACTCTACAGGTTGCAGGCACTTTTCTAAATGAAGATTTTAATATGATTGTTTAAAACATTCAGTTTGTTAAAGTTATCAAATCAAATAAACAGCTTGTTGGTTTCAATTAAAATTTCATGTAAAGATTGTTTTCCTGGTTCCATTTTTGACAGAAACTTTTTTTTTATTAGTGAACATCAATCACATTACATTGTAACAACAACCAAAACTCAACAAAAACAAAAAGAACAATTCAGTAGATAAACCAAAACCTTATAACTAGGCCATTAGAAATATTCTAATCAGCAGAAACAACCGGATTTATAAGATTAACAAGACACGATAAAGAAATAAAAATAAAATAAATACAATATTAATATGAACACTACTAATAATAACACAATACTACTAATACATATTTAAAGACAGAGGACCTTAGTTCACAGGATCTTCACTAAATCTGACAAGTGTAACAGCCTGTACAGTCTTTACTTTTTTAAGAGATTTGCAAAATAGCAAAAAATCGTTTTGGAAAAAAGGAAAGTTTGGCTTCACTTTCATAAAACAGCATTTGTGAATAAAAAATTTCCCAAAAATTATCAAATTGTTAACAACGAATTGAATCTGATTATTTTTTTCTATACACCCAAATTGAATAGTATTATATGTGAATAAGGGGATATTGTAACTCTTTTGGAATAAAAGCCAATTGTATAAATCTAACCAAAATGTATTTACCGATTTGCAAGCATAGAAAAGGTGTTTCTGAGTTTCAATTTCACTATTACATAGGACATATAAATTATCTTGTATACTAAATCTGATATTTAAAAATTCTTTACATGGATATATATTATTAATCGTTTTAAAGTGAACTTCCTTCATTTTGGGGAGAAGAGGGTAAGAAAGAAACTCTGTTCTTATGACTTTAGTATCTATAATTGAAAAAATCGGAGAAAGAACTTTCCTTCTGACAGGAATAGGGAATAACTTGTCTGACAAGACTGCTCTTAGGTAAGAGTTATTACATTTACGGTCTGTAAAACTCAAATCACCTATAGATAATTTAGGAAGCTTAGGTGTATTTGTTCCATGTTGAATACTTTGACTGACCATCTGGCCAACAGCTGGAGAAATAGCCTTTATAACTCTAGAGTATTCCGTTACAGAACAGTCTATGTTATACTTAATTTTGAACTCAGTATGCTCCAGAAACTTACCCTTACTGTCCATCAGCTGCATTATGGTCCAAACTCCTTTATCCATCCAACTTTTATAATATATCGATTTCCGTTTATACAGAACAAATCTGTTATTCCATATAGAGGAGGAATGTGGGCTAAAGTTTTGCGAGTAGATCATTTTCCAGTACATCAACACTTGTTTAATATAGTTAGAAAGTTTGATGGGTAATTTAAGAGGATCGAAATCACATTTTAACAAAAAATCTATACCTCCAATCTTCTCAAACAGAAATGAAGGAATACAGAACCAGATAGAATCTTTCTTAATTAAAATTTTTTTTAGCCATTGTAATTTAATAACTCCATTTATTACTTCAAAGTCAATGACTTTCAGACCTCCTTCTTCTATAGGTTTTACTAGATCGTTTTTTCCTAATCAAATGTTGTTTATTATTCCAAATAAAGTCATATTGTGTTTTATTTATTCTCTTAACATATTGGTCAGGGATAGCTACTGAAAAAGCAGGATAGATTAATCTAGATATACTCTCCATTTTTGTTAAGAGTATTCTACCAAAAATTGATATATGTCTTTGGAGCCAACTACTTAAAATCTTTTGATTTTTATTAATTATTGGTTGGATATTGTTATCCACTCTCTCCTTAAAGATTTTATTAATCTTCATACCCAAATACTTAATTTCATTCTTAATAGGGATATCGCAAATATGAAACTCCTCAGTATCATGAATTGTTAATATTTCACATTTGTTAGCGTTCAACCTTAAACCTGAGGCTTGTGAATTTTTGACGGAAACTTTTGCAACAAAAGTCACTTCCTTATTTGGCTTCAAAACAGACAAACACTTTGT